GGGGAGACGGGGAGGGGGTGGGGGGCAGCTCTGCCCTATTTCCCCCACGCGGGGTCCCGCCCGGCCACTCGGGACCCCAAAAGTTGTCCACGCAGCCCTCGCCCCCGGCAGCACAACATCGTAGGGGATGCTGGAGGAGCGGCCCAAGGGAGTCCGACGGGAAGGAGAGAGGCAGCGATGAGAGGTGGGTGCAGGCATCCGGGTCCCCCCCGGGGGCGAAGCTGCGTACGGGCGAAGCAGGGTGAGATGGAGTTTGGGTTTAGGTACAACACGCTGTCCACGCAGGCGGAGCACGGGTCAGGTTTTTCTCGACTAATGTCTTGGGTTTTTTTGCTGATGTGCGGAAGGTTTCTCAGCGCGTTTGGTCTTCAACCTTGACTGTAGCCTCCAGGGTGCGGGTTCTTCAAGCCACTCGGCATGTTTTTGTAGCATCACATTGTTGGCCATGGCGGGACTGCTTTGGTTTTGTTTTTTTGATGTCTCAACCCTATTATGAGTCGGTGTAATCCAAGAGATGAGGATGGAGACGAGAGAGTGCCAAAGGGATGGTCAGGAGTGGCCTTGAGGCAGTGGTCCAGCGATACGGGTGCAGGGCAAGGGCACAGCCATGCTCCAAGGCTTCGTGGCATGTCCCAAGTAAGGGACAGGGTAGTGAGGATGTGGGACAGGCCAGCCGGGCACAGGCAGGTCTATGCAAATCAGGGTCAGGATGGCACAGAAGGAGGTGGTCGGCCGGCTCGGCCCCATGGTGATGTGGTGGCACCAGCACTCCTGGTGCCCATGGTTTATAGGGTGAAGCATTGCAGCTGGTTTTGTCTTTGGCAGCAGATGTGCCTCCTCTGCCTCTCCCAGGGGAAAAGATGGTCTTTGTGTAGGTCTGAAGATGCCCAGTAGTGCGAGCCTGGCACAAGAGGTGGTGAACAGACCCTTGGGGGTTTGGGAGAGATCCCACCCAGCACCCAAGGATGGGTATGGAGGTGACGGGGCTCTCTCTCTCACCTCCTCTCCATAATTGTAAATGTTTTGGTGCTCTAGGTGAGAGGTCAAGGAGCGCCCGATGCTAGAGTTTGAGGGACAGAGAGCAAGTTCAAAAGAGAAGAGAGGCTGCCTGTTGGATTAATTTATGTATCATTTACCTATTTATGGTGTCTCTGGGCAGTGGGGAGCGATGGAGGTCACGGCTTGAGATCTGTTCTCCATCCCTCTGGATGTAGCAGCTGAGCTCCGAGGGCCAGGGAGCAACCCACCCCACGTTTGGGTGTCTGTAGGCATTTCTGTCCAGCAGAGGCGGGTCTGTTGCTGGACACCCAGCAGAGCCGGCATGGCAAAATGGGAAGCGTTAGTGAGGCCCAGGTGGTGTCGGGATGCGCAGGGGCCACATGCGAGCGTGACGCCATTGCACCAGTCCTGGCTCCCTGATGGGTTTGTTTTCCTTTGGAAGAGGCTCAAAGCAGAGAGGGCTTCCCATGGCAGTCCCCCATGCCGCTCGACTCGTGGCACGTAACATGGAGGAAGCCGCTCGTCCCCAGCACGGATGGGAAAAGGAGTGTGGAGGTGGGGATTCCGCGCAGCGGATTTCGGGCAGCCCAGAGAGCCCCAGGGACAATGTTGTGCAGGCAGGGGGGGCTCATCCCTACCGGACCCCTTTCCACTGGGCTTTGGGATGGACTTACCTTTCTGCAGGGGTCACTCCAGGGGGACAGCAGACATGTTCCCGATGCACGAGGTCCCAGGAGCTGGTAGCGGTGCCAGAATGGGGCATTTTGCTTAGGCACGTGCCCAACACAGGCTGTTGGTGGCACAGCAGTTTTGGGGGTAAACTTTTTGCTCAGAAATCAGGGAAGGCGAAGGGAGGCGCGGTCCCAAGGGGATCACTCAAAGCGAGTGACTGTCTGATGGCTCCGGAGTAGGACCGTAGACCGCAGTCTCCCCCATGGTCGCCCCAGGTGCCCCCAGCAGCCTTCCCATCCTGGGACATACAGGAAGGGACATCAGCCTGGGGATTTCCCTAGGGAAACGGGGACTGTGAGCCGCTCGGTGGCCACACAAGCTCGGTCGGCGGCACACGGCAACGAGGGGACCGCGTACCCGGAGGCTATCAGGAAACAGCCACCTCCTGGCTTGTGTCCGAGCTGGTCGGCGAGGCGTGGGGTTGGGGAGCTTGTTGAGCGTTTTCTCCTGGTTGACGGAGTAGAAAAGCATGGAATCTCCTGGGGAGCGGTGGTGGCATTTTAAGGGCCAGAGGAGATGCCGAGGGTCACAGCTGCTTCTCCTCCCGGTCTTTGCTGTCTTTGTCCACGACATGTCCTGTCAGGTCACGATAGGAGCAAACCACCTTCAGGCGCGTCGTCTGCAGAGGTGTTCCTTGTGCGGGGGTAGGTTTAGTTGTCGTAGCGGATGTTCTCATGAGATGAGAGAGAAGATGGCGGGAATGGCTCAGTCACCCGAAGGAGGGTCCTGATGACATCGCTTCTGCTGAGCGTAGGTGAGCGATGAGAGCAAAGCCAGTCCTCACCCCGCAGGGGCTCCATCAGCAGGTACGTGCTCATCGGCGGCCGGGGGACGGAGGCGGGAGGGACCCCTCGGCAGAGCCGTGAAGCCAGTTCTCAGGGGAGACGCACGGCATGGGGTGAGGGACGGTCCGACCAGCCATGGCCCCCAGCTGGGGGAGCTCGAAGCATCGCCATTACAGGGGGCGATCAAAAGAGGCTCCCACGAAGGGATGGAGAGCTCTCGGGGCGCGCGGGGTGCGCAAAGCAAAGCCCCGAAGGTACAAAGTTCGTCAAACTTTATTGATACACTGCACAATCACAACCATCTCTTATTCTTGCCGAATTAGAAAAGGTTACAACTACAATGTAACATGCACAAATCTCAGGTAGTATAGCCACCCTTGGAATACAATGATCGACGGAAACTCAAGACCGGCCGTCGGCGGGGGGGAGCCCCCCCGGGGCGGCGCGCCCCCCGCCC